GGGTCGCTCAGGCTGAGTGTAGCGGCGCCATCCTCGGTCATGAAATAGCTGCCTCCCGGATTCAAGCGATTCTCCTGCCTTCAGCCTCCGAGTAGCTGGGATTACAGGTGCACACCACACCACTTGGCTAATTTTTGTATTTTTAGTAGAGATGGAGTTTCATCATGTTGGCCAGGCTGGTCTCGAACTCCTGACCTCAGGCGATCCGCCCCTCAACCTTCCGAGGTGCTGGGATTACAGGTGTGAGCCACCGTGCCCAGCCCATCATCCTTCTAAGAAAGAAAAATCCCAGCATTTTCTTTGAAGTCCTGGTGTGCCTCTTCCCAGTCTCATCACTTTCCCTCCCTACTCAGAGGAAACCACTCTTCTGAATCTTGTATTTGTCATTTTCTTTATAATTTTTTTCTTTTTCTCTGGAGTTAGAGATTCTTTATCGTAATGCTTTATCGTTTGTATTGCTAATGCAACCATTATATGTATGTTTCTCTGCAACTTGCTTTTTTCATTCAACATTATGTGCTTGACATTCATTCATGATGTTCTTCATGTTTTGTAGTTCTTTGTATATTCCAGATCCTAATCCTTTGTCAGTCATGTGTTTTGTGGTTTGTCTCTTCTCTTTTATGCTGTTTTTTGGTGAAGAGAATTCTTAATTTTTATGAGGTTGAATTTAGCTGTCTTTCATTTTTTAAATGGTTTGTGCTCCTTTGTCTTGTTCAAGAAATCCCTTGAGCTAGCTTAAGACTGTAAATATCAGTACCTCCTATCAACTCATGCCTTATCCAACAACAAAATTTTTTTTTTTTTTTTTTATGCGACTGAGTCTGGCTCTTGTCGCCCAGTGCATGGAGTTAGACAGTGGCCGCGATCTTCAGCTCACTGCAAGCTCTGCCTCCCCGGGTTTACGCCAATTCACCTGGCCTCAGCACTCCCGTAGTAGCTGGACCACATGCGCCCCGACCACTCGCTCCGTAGTTCTTTTGTATTTGTTTATTAGAGATGGGATTTCACTCGTAGTTAGCAGATGGTCTCGGAGTCTCCTACGCTCTACGTGTGATCCGCATCCGTCCTGCCTCCCAAATAGATGCTTGCGATTACACAGCTTGAGCCCACCTGCGGCCCGGGCGGAAACCGGCCTACCAAAAAATTTATAATTTGATCGTTCACATTAGAGGGAAGAGTCAGGTTGGGAGAGGTGCACTTTGTGACGTGGTATCAGGTAGAGGTCAATTTTCTTTTGGGTTTATGGTTCTTGTTGGTGCTTCTTTGAGACCAGAGCTCTTGCTCTGTCACCTCCGGCTGGAAGTGCAGTCGCGTGGCAATCTCAGCTCACAGTACGCTCCACGGGTTCAGGTGAATTCTCTTGCCATCAAGTCTCGCGAGTAGGCTGAGATTACAAGGCACCATGCCACCCTGTCCCAGCTAATAGTGTTATGTTCTTTGTAGAGACTGAGGGTTTCACCATGTACCAAGTGCACATGGTCATACGAACTTCTTGACCTCAGGTGATCCAAGCAGACCTCAGCACCTTACCAACAGTGTTGGGATTACAGGCATCAGCCACTGCGCCCAGCCAATTTTATTTATTTATACCTGGATAACCAATTCTCCCAGTACCACTTCTCAAATACTACAAAAGCACCTTTCTGATCCGTAGTGCCTGCTCAGCCTTCAATCATGTTTCCATATATGTATGGGTTTCAGGGTCCTTTATTCTGTTCACTGGTCAAATTGTTTTATCCTGGAATCAATACTTTAGTCTTTGTTTGTTTGTTTGTTTGGGATGGAGTCTCGCTCTGTGGCCCAGACTGGAGTGCACTGGCACCATCTTGGCTCACTGCAACCTCCGCCTCCCAGGCTCTAGCAATCCTCCCACCCGCACCTTACAGGTGTGCGCCACCACTCTGGCTAATTCTTTATTTTTTTTGTAGAGACTGGGTTTCACCATGTTGGCCAGGCTGGTCTTGGACTCCTGGGCTTAAGCTGTCCTCCGCTTCAGCCTCCCAAACTGCTGGGATTACAGGTGTAACCCACAGTGCCATGCTGATATATTTTAGTCTTAATTACCATATAGTTTTATAATAATTCTTGATAGCTGGTAAGGCACATCCTCTTACCTTATTCTTCTTCAGGCTATTCTTAACCTTTTATTTTCCAATATAAATTTTAGAATTCGTTTGTCCTACAAAAAAAAAATTATATTGATCAATTTGGGGAAAATTGACATCCTTAGGACAATGAAGCTCCTAATCTGTAAGTATATCCCTCATTATTCGCTTTTTCTCTTTTTTTTAGAGAGAGAGGGTCGGTTGCTTTATAGCTAGGTTGAGTTGCAGTGGTACAACATAGCACAGTGGGATTGCAGGGGCATTGAGCTACTGTTCCCAGCCTCCATTTATTCTTTATTTTAATAAATTCTGTAATGTTCTTTTTTTTTCTTCTCTTTTTTTTTTTTATGAACGGAGTCCTGGCTTCCTGTCGGCCCAGTCGCTGGGAGGCAGTGGCCGGATCTCAGCGTCATGGCAGAGCTCAGCCTCACTGGTTTTACCGCATTCTCCTGCCTAGCTCCCGAGTAGCTTTGGGATACAGTGTGCCCCCCAGCGTCGCCCGCTAGTTTTTGTATTTTTGTTGTAGAGAGATACAAGGGTGTCACTGTGTTAGCCAGCATGGTCTTGATCTCCTGACCCTCGTGATCCGCCGAATCTCCGGCCTCGCAAAGTGCTGGGATACAGGCCTTGATGCCACGGCCTGGCCTTTTTTTTTTTTAACATAGAGACGCAGGTCTTCGTTATGTTGGACCAGGGTCTGGTCTCAAACTCCGGAGGCTCAAGTGATCTCCATCTGGCCTCCCAAAGCGAAGATTACAGTTAGTTGAACCACATGCCTGGCCTAAAATTCTGTGATTTTCTCCATAAATAATCATACATTTTAATTGGATTTATTTCTGGGTACTTGACATATCTTGATGTCATAAATGGCATTTTTTAAAAAGTCACATATTATTTTTGTTACTGCTATCCAGTATTCCTCAAATTTCTCACTATTCCATTCTGTCAGTCATAGGTAAGTCTTTTTAAAACGCTGTTTGAACAGATCATGGTCCTGCTCAAGATAGAGAGTGGCTCCATGATGCCCGTTGAATCAAGTCCAAATGGCTCAAACATTCACCATTTTTTTTTTTTTTTTCTGAGACAGAGTCTCGCTCTGTAGCCCAGGCTGGAGTGCAGTGGCATGATCTCAGCTCACTGAAACTTCCGGCTCCTGGGTTCAAGCAATTCTTCTGCCTCAGCCTCCCAAGTAGCTGGGACTACAGGTGTGTGTCACCATGCCTGGCTAATTTTTGTATTTTTAGCAGAGAGGGGTTTCACCATATTGGCCAGGCTGGTCTCAAACTCCTGACCTCGTGATCTGCCCACCTCAGCCTCCCAAAGTGCTGAGATTACAGGCATGAGCCCGACATCCATTATTCTTATTGCATCTCCATCTATCCATGGCCCTCCTCTTCCCACCTGAGCACCTGCACTTGACTTCAGCCGGGCTCATCTTCTCACTTTATTCTGTCCTCGGTGCCTCTATTCAACTCCTTCCATCTCCAGGAAAGCAAGACTGTCCTCTCAAGCCTAGTCATATCCTTTCCATTTGGAAGGCTTAGTTCAAGTCCCAGCTTGCTCATGGAGCCTAATAATGCCAGTCACATAGACTATCCCTCCTTGATGATATATTATGGGCTTTTCAATCTACACTAAACTTTGCACACAATTCTGTACCTTTTTGTTAGTTGCATGTGTATGTATTTATCTTTGTTCATATTTTCTGGCACCCCAAATTGCGCTGGCCTACCTACCACTGAGAAGATCAGGGCTGAGAGGATCAAAAGTGGTGGGACAGCCGGGTGCGGTGGCTCACACCTGTAATCCCAGCACTTTGGGAGGCTGAGGCGGGTGGATCGCTTGAGGTCAGGAGTTTGAGACCAGCCTGGTCAACATAGTGAAACCCTGTCTCTACTAAAAATACAAAAAATTGGCCAGGCATGGTGGCGGGCGCCTATAATCACAGCTACTCCGGAGGCTGAGGAAGGAGAATCCCTTGAACCCGGGAAGCGGAGGTTGCAGGGAGCTGAGATCATGCCGTTGCACTCTAGCCTGGGCAACAAGAACGAAACTAAAAAAAAAAAAAAAAATGGTGGGACAAGAAGGCAGGGCTGCCGGAAGCCCATATAGTTCCTGTCTGTGAACTGGAGAAAGGCACTCAGCCTTGTGGAGGAATGCAGATTGTGGCACGTAGATCAAGGGCTGCATTTCAGCCTCCACTCATCCTTTCAGCCAGTGCCTTTGTGCAATGAAGAACCTCCACAACTGTACATGGCGGTGCTAGTGGCAGGTCTGAGTATGATGCATGTCACCCCATCTTTGTATTTCATTGTCCCCAGGGCCTAAAGGCCAACATGACACGTCTTTACCAACTAATGTCAGAACCACAGTTTTCCCGCTGCTCCAAACCTGCCAAATACAAGAAGCTGCTGTTTTCACTCTGTTTCTTCCACTCTGTATTACTTGAACGCAAAAAGTTCCTGCAGCTTGGCTGGAACATAATCTATGGCTTCAATGACTCTGACTTTGAGGTTTGTATTAGCCAGGGGTCCTCATCCCAGCCCTCTCTCCTCATACTTCCTATCCCATGGCTCCCCTGTGGGACTATCCATGGGCAGAAAACCTGTGTTGAAGCCCCATTGGCAGATTTCCTGCCATAACTCTGTGGGAATGGGGGCTTGGGTTGGGACCATGCCTAGGTGTCAGAGAACTTGCTGAGCCTCTATCTGGATGAGTACGAGGAGACACCTTGGGATGCACTTAAGTACCTCATTGCCGGCGTCAACTATGGTGGACATGTCACAGATGACTGGGACCGGCGCCTGCTGACCACCTACATCAATGATTACTTCTGTGACCAGTCTCTATCAATTCCCTTCTACCGGTGAGGGGGAGGTGGCACTGGGCAGGGAGCCAGAGGTCACAAGCCAGCCAGGTGGCGGGATCAGGGGTGGGGGAAATGTTTGAGGAGAGGACATGAAATTGGGAGAAGACAAGAGTTTGTGGGATTGGGAGGGGGAGCAGGGCAGGGGGCTGGACAAATGGGACATGCATAGGCTTGGGGTCTTGGCCTGGCATTGAGGCCTGAGTCCCCATAATGTGGCAGTAATTATGCTATGACTCCCTAGGTTGTCAGCACTGGAGACTTATTTCATCCCCAAGGATGGGAGCCTGGCTTCTTACAAGGAATACATCAGTTTATTGCCTGGCATGGACCCCCCTGAGGCCTTTGGCCAGCACCCCAATGCTGATGTGGCCTCTCAGATCACTGAGGCACGAACCCTCTTTGATACTTTGCTTTCCTTGCAACCTCAGATTACACCCACCAGGGCTGGAGGCCAGACCCGGGAAGAGAAGGTAGAAAGAGCCCGGCCTGTGGCAGGGTAGGGGAGGTAAGTGATGAGAAGAGGGGGCTACACTCAAGAGCTCCTCCCTGCTCAGGTCCTTGAGTTGGCCGCTGATGTGAAGCAGAAGATCCCTGAAATGATCGACTATGAGGGGACCCAAAAACTGCTAGCTCTCGACCCCTCCCCTCTCAATGTGGTCCTTCTGCAGGAGATCCAGAGATATAACACACTGATGCAGACCATCCTGTAAGACGGATCGGGAACTCTGCAGAACATGGGAGGGGGTGAGGAGAGGCCTTCGCCTTCTGGCTAGAATGACATTCCCAGGCCCACCCCATCTCTAACACTCCACCTCATCCTGCTCAGGTTCTCACTGACAGACCTAGAGAAAGGCATCCAGGGGCTCATCGTCATGTCTACAAGCCTGGAAGAGATTTTCAATTGCATCTTTGATGCCCACGTTCCTCCACTCTGGGGAAAGGCAAGATTATACCATTGTTGATCCTTCTCTAACAATGAGCTCCCCTCTCAATCCTATGCCCCCCAATCTCCTGGTTCTAGGTGGGCATATAGCAAACTGTAGGGAGCCTAAACTTTGAAGTTAGATAGGTTCAAGTTTGAAACCTGGCTCTGCCATTCATTGACTGACTTCTTACAATTTATTAACTTACAGACTTACTCAGGGCAAATTACTAACCTCTCTAAGGATGTTTCAACGATTCCCAGTATTGTGCATACCACTCAGTAGGTGCTTTGTTAATGGTACCTGGTTAATATTACTGCAGTCATTGTTATTAATGAATAGCTGTCGTTGTATGCCTCTTTCCTGGAAGTCGGCTTTGGAGAGTTTTGTTCACCTGTAGTTGGGGAACAAGGGCTGACACCACATAGTCTTCTCATATCTGCTTCAGGGGCTCAAAATAAGGATTTGGGCTGGGCGCGGTGGCTCACGCCTGCAATCTCAGCACTTTGGGAGGCCGAGGCAGGCAGGTCACCTGAGTTCCGGAGTTTGAGACCAGCCTGATCAACATGGTGAAACCCCGTCTCTACTAAAAAATACAAAAATTAGCCAAGCGTGGTGGTGGGCGCCTGTAATCCCAGCTACTTGGGAGGCTGAGGCAGGAGAATCACTTGAACTTGGGAGGCGGAGGTTGCAATGAGCCAAGATTGCACCACTGCACTCCAGCCTGGGTGACAAGAGTGAAACTCTGTCTCAAAATAAATAATATGGATTCAAATCCATGGCTAAATGAATGAATACACACGCACTCCTTCCCCAGGCATACCCCTCACAAAAGCCATTGGCTGCTTGGACCCGGGACTTGGCCATGCGTGTGGAGCAGTTTGAGCTGTGGGCCAGCCGGGCCCGGCCTCCTGTGATCTTCTGGTTGTCTGGTTTCACCTTTCCCACTGGCTTCCTCACTGCTGTGCTGCAGTCTTCAGCTCGCCAAAACAATGTGAGCAATATGCAAAGTGTGAGGGGGATGTTGCTGGGGCCATGTATGTGTTCTCCTCTTCGGGGTCCTCCCTTATTCTCACCTTCAACCCCCAGGTTTCAGTGGACAGCCTCTCCTGGGAGTTTATCGTTTCCACTGTGGATGACAGCAACCTAGTGTATCCCCCTAAGGTGGGAGCCAGTTGTGCTTGAGGCTCTGAGCAAAAATGGGAAATAATTGGACAAGAAGGGAGGAGAGAGGGAGTAGGCCAGGGGCGCCGGCAACTGAAGTCTAGCTTCTCCCAGACCTGCTCCCATATCTCCCCAGGATGGTGTCTGGGTCCGGGGCCTGTACCTGGAAGGTGCTGGCTGGGACCGGAAGAACTC